AGTTACTTTACTACAGGGTGTGTGCACTCACTGGAGAGACAGAGAGACAGAAAGCAAGAAATCACTCCACAGGGGGGATGGCCATGCCACAATCCTTTCTTCTCCATTCTCTTCTCCAGATTTTGGGCACACACGTACATGTGCCCAGTGTGAGTTTTAATCAGCCAGGTCTGGGACTTGAACCATGGTTGGCCATGTCTAGACATAACCATTACACCATCTATTGTTCCCAAGTAACAGCTTTTCATATGTTCATTTTCTATTTGTATATCTTCTTTGGTGAAGTATCTGTTAAGGTCTTTGGCCCAGTTTTTAATAACATTGTTTCCTTTCTTCTTGACTTTTAAGAATTGTTCATGTATTTTGGATAATATTCCTTTGTCAGATATGTCATTTGCAAATATTTTTCCCATTTTGTGTCTGTATTTTCATTCTCTCAGAAATATCTTTTGCAGAGCAGAGAGTTTAATTTGAATGGAATCCAGCTTATGGTTCTTTCTTTCATGGATTGTGCTTTTTCTGTTATACCTAAAAAGTAATTGCCAAACCCAAAGTCACAGATTTTATCCAAATTTGTCTTCTAAGAGTTTTACTTCTAGGAGTTTTACAGTTTTATATGTTACATTTAGGTCTGTGATCCATTTCTGGCAGGTATAAGATATGTATTTAGATTAATCTTTTTACACATGAATGTCATCATGACACCATTTATTGAAGACTATATATTGTCTACTTTGTATCACTTTGCTTCTTTGTCAAAGATCAGTGACTATATTTATGTGGGTCAATTTCCAGACTCATTCCTGTTGTATTGATCTATTTGTTCTTTTGTCAATAATACACTCTCTCTTCATTACTGTGGCTTTACAGAAAACCTTGAAGTTGAATAATGTAAGTCCTCTGACTTTCTTCTACAATATTGTGTTGGCTATTCTGGGTCTTTTGCCTCTCCATATAAACTTTAGAATCAGTTTGTCAATATATAGAAAATAACTTCTGGAATTTTAATTGGGTTTTCAGTCATTTTAATTGGATTTGAGCTGAAAATAATTGACTTTTTAAAATTTATGGTAGAGCACGAGTGCACATGCCATTGAGAGAGAGAAAGAAAGAAAAAGAAAAACACTCTTCACAGGGCTCAATCATGCCCAATACCCTTTCTTCACTCCTCCAGTGTGCCAGAATCCTGGACACATGTGCACGTGCCCAGCATGTTTTCAGAATGATCAGGCTAGAGACTCAAACTGCAGTTGGCGTATGGCTACCAACTCCGCAGTCCAGCACACTAACAACTATGCCACAGAGGCTGAGACAAGAATTAATATCTTGAGATCAGCAGATGGTTTAATGGTTATGTCACTGGACTCCCTTGTATTCGAATGTAGTTTGAGTCCTGGACCCAGCAGCTTAAATTCATATCGGGAGCGTATGCGTGTGTGCCCATAACCCTGAGAAGAGAATGGAGGAGAAGGGATTGTGGTATGGCCATCTCTCCTGGGGGAAGATTTCTCACTTTCTGTCTCTCTGGCGAGCACACATACCCTATGGCAAAAACTCTCTTAAAAAAGAGTTAACATCTTAAGTGGTTTTATACATGAACATGTATATCCATTTATACATAACATGTCTATCCATTTATTTAATTACTTTTTTTTCTTTCATCAGTGTTTTATAGTTTTCCTCATATAAATCTTGTACTTTTTTATTATTTACTTTTTTTGAGAGGTTTTTGCCTTAGGGCACACATGCTTGCTGGGGAGAGAAAGATAGACACAATGAGAGAGAAAGTGAAAAATCACTCCCTGGGGAGGATGGCCATGCCACAATCCTTCTCCTCTATTCTCCTTCCAGGACCTTGAGCATGCATGGACATGCACCTGGGATGATTTTCAAGCCACCAGGTTTGGGACTCAAACCGCAGTCAACCCTATCGCAGTCCAGTGACATAACCACTACACCATCTACTGGGCCCATAAATCTTGTACATATTTTGTTAGGTATATACCTAAGTATTTTATTTGGGAGATGCTAATGTGAATAGTATTGTATTTTTAATTTCAAATTCCACTGATTTATTGCTGGTATATAAGAAAGTCATTGCCTCGTGAATATTAACCTGTAACATTGCTATAATTATTTATTCTTTCAGGGGTGTTTTTGTTGTTTCAGATCTTCTGTATAGAAAATCATGTCATCTGTAAACAAAGACTGTTTTATTTCTTCTTCCTTAATCTGTATGCATTTTATTTTCTTCTATTGTGTTAGCTAGTACTTCCAGAACAATATTAAAGAGGCATGGTAAGAGGATAACCTTGCTTTGTTCTTGATCTTAGTGGGAAAGCTTCTAGTTTTTGCTATTAAATATTATGTTAGTTGTAGGTATTTTTGTAGAGATTCTTTATCAAGTTAAGAAATTCTCCTCTCTCTAGTTTACTGTGCATTTTTATCATGAATGGGTGTTTGATTTTTTCATCTGCTTTTTCTGCATCTATTGATATGATCATGTGATTTTTCTTCTCTACCCCATTGAGGGGATGGGTAGCATGAATTGATTTTTAAATATTGAACCAACCTTACATAGCTGTGATAATCCCACTTGCTCATGATGTATAATTATTTTTATACATTGTTGGATTCAATTTATTAATTTTTGTTGAAGATTTTTGCATGTATGTTCATGAGATATATTGGTCTGTAGTTTTCTTTCCTTGTAATGTCTTTGTCTGACTTGGGTATTAAGGTAACACTGGCCTCATACAATGAATTAGAAGATATTCCCACTGTAATATCATCTGAAAGATATTGTGAGGAATTGACAAAATTTCTTCCTTAAATGTTGTTTGGTAGAATTCATCGATTTACCTATCTGTTCCTGGTGTGTCTGTTTTTAAGGTTGTTAATTATTGGTTCAATGTCTTGAATAGACATAGGCATGTTCAGTCTGTCTATTTCTTTAATTTTGAAAGATTACATATTTAATAAATTGGTCCATTTCATCTAGGTTATCAAATTTGTGGGCATAGAGTTATTCATAATATTTGTTATTACATAATAAACACAATATACTGTGTTAATGATAGGTACTTTGGAAAAAAGAAAAACTAGAATCAGCTAAAGGACATTAATAGAGCAGGCAGGGGGAAAGATTATAATATTAAAAAGGGCAATAGCAGGCCCAGCTGCAGTGGTACAGGCAGTAGAGTGCCACAATGTGAGGCTTTGGCCATATGGAAGGCCTGGGTTTAGCTCCCAGACCAGCCTAGATAGGCATAGTGGCATGTGTCTGTGATCCTAATTAACCAGGACGTTAGGGCAGGTGAATGTTGTAAAACCCTGTCAAAAATACCTCTCTCTCTCCCTTATGCTCTCTCAATGTCACACACACCCACACACACACACACACACACACACACACAAATGTTTTTAATTGAGAGAGATGATTTGAAGAAACATTTGAAAGAACAGAAGGAAAAAAGTCACACTGATAATTCGGTAAAGAGTATCATAGAGAAAAGATAAAACTACAGCAAAGGCCTTTATGTGATAGATGCTTAATGCATTCAAAGAACAGCAAAACAAGGCCAGTATGATTAGAGTGGAGAAAACAAGGAGGAGAGTCTTTGGATATGGACACAGGGAGGTAAGGCAGGATAAAATCACATGAGTCCTTGTTGAGATACGGTATGACTTACCTTTTAACAGAATCACTGCTGGGTTGAGCAGAGAATGAAGGGATACAAGAGTGAAAGCAAGAAAATCAGTTATAATTTTAAGTCACCGGGTCTGGTACTTGAACCATGCAGTTGGCCATGTGGGATCCATCCACCTTAACCACCACACTACTGCTGACCCAGTCCCATATTCTTTATTAACAACACCCATAATAATTTCTAGGATTTATTAAGTAGTTCCTGTGTTCCAGGCACTGTTCAAAGTTCTTTACATGTACTAATACACATAACCTATCCAGCACTGTGTCTCTTTAACACTTGCAACCTAAATAATCTCATGTACTCTCAGTTTTAACTGCCATCTCTAAGCTGCTAATTACCCCCCAGATCTTATCTCATTTGGCCCAGGCTCATATATTTTTCTGCCTTCTGGATATCTCTTCTTTTAATTCAACAATTCTTCTAAATCTTTAGGTCACATTGTTTTATCATACCCATATGACAAGCTTCTAATCCTGTATTACTCCAAATGCCCTCTCTCCCCATGCCAATACCTGAATAGCTGACTATTGCTGCAGAGAGTCAGTCACAGATCTCAACTGAGCCCTTAATACTGCCTTGTTCTCCCACTTATCACAAGAGATATTTCAGATCTCTTCTCTCCTCACATCTCCAGCTCTGCCTCCACCATCTCAGAATTCAAAGAGTAACGTAATAAATGCAACCAGAATTTGTTAATTTCTTGCTATATCTCCTTGTAATTTACAAAGAAAGCCGAAGCCGTGAGATGAAACTTCTCCAAAAGCTGGTTTTCTTTTCCATGTGTTAGGGAATGCATTCTGACTTCTTTCGTATACTCAATGACAAGCCTTGCATATAGAAACTATGCTTTGTATGCCTCTCTCTGCCTCCCCCTGTGGAGCTGAGCACAGGGCCCTGAGGTGCAGAGGAATTTGAACTCTTGTTTCAATTGATATTATGCTACATTTCTCACCACCCTGGCTTGTTTCTTGCAGCTGATATAGAAGGCCAGTCCTTAAGACACCGAGACAAGCGGCTTAGTTTAAATTTGGTAAGTTTGGCACTTGGATTCCTTTTTTTTTTTTTTTGGAGAGATTTTCACTATAGGGCGCATGCGCTCGCCAGAGAGACAGAGAGAGACATAGAGACAGAAAGCGAGAAATCACCCCCCAGGGGGGATGGTCACGCCGCAATCCCTTCTCCTCCATTCTCCTCTCGGGATCTTGGGCACGCACGCACACGCGCCCAGCGTGAGTTTTAAGCCACCGGGTCCGGGACGCGAACCGCGGTCGACTACGTGGGAATCCAGCAACATAGCCATTACGCTAACTGCTGGTTCCCGGAACTTGGATTCCTTTAAACCTCAGTTTTACCAAAATAACCTAAATTATATGTTATCTTGGATTTTTTTGAGATTCAGCACTCTGAATCTCTAGCGAGTCTTCCAGTCTCCCCTTAAGACTTGAACTTGTTTGGGAACCACTGGACTTGATGTTCTGTAAGGGCCCTGTCAGATACTTTCCCAGCTTAAGGCATCACATTGTGCTTAAGGCATTTGCACAAATGCATAACCTCTGTTTTCCAGCATCAAGGAGAGTCATTGCCTAAGTCCATACAATAAGGCCAGAGGCTGAATTTGAGCTCTAGTCTTGTTTGACTTTCCTGATGACGTTCAGAGTTAGTTTTAGCTAATTTGAAACTGAAACCACATGTGCAACCTTGACTTCCCACTGGTAGCAGTTCCTATGACTCATCTGTGATATCTACCTGTACCTGTTCTCTTGCAGCCGTGTAGGGTCTCCCCAATGAGCTTTACAGCTTCTGCCAGTGTAGAAGACAGCTATGTACCCATGAGCCCCCAGGCCACTGCCTCTAGCCTTGGAGTGCACTTCAGCCCTGATGACTACATCCCAATGAGCTCAGGAAGTCTTTCAAGCCCACTACCTGAGCTACCTGCAGACCTGGAGCCTCCCCCAGTAAACAGAGATCTCAAGCCTCAGAGGAAAGGTAAATCACTTGACCAAGACTCCTGGGAAACCAAGTGGGCAGTGGGAAAGTCACTGTCCTCGGCTCTGGTGATATGGAAGGGAATTAGACAATCTTTTTTTTTTTTTTGAGAGGGTTTTACTGTAGGGCACATGTGCTCTCCAGAAAGATAGAGACAGAGATACAGGAAGTGAGAAATCACCCCTGAGGTGGAATGGCCATGCCACAATCCTTTCTCCTCCATTCTCCTCTCTGGATCTTGGGCACACACGCACACGCACCTGGTGTGAGTTTAAGCCACCAGGTCCGGGACTCGAACTATGGTCAACTACATGGGAGTCCCGGGAATTAGACAATCTCTACTCACATAGTGTAATGGAGGAAAGAGATCAAAAAGCAGCCTGGTAAAGGCAGTGAAAGAGGAAGGCATGACCAACTGAGCAAGATGCTGATGATGAATGTATCATCACAAACTGGTAGAGATCCCATAAAAGGTGAGTACAGAAACCCATGAGAGCCATGATATGGGCCTGATCTTGTCTGGAGGTCAAAATGCATCCCTAATCAGGGAACATTGAGCTGAGACCTGAACATGAGTAACTGGGCAAAGTCGTTTTTACTCCTCATGAGATACAGAAGAGCAGGATGATGAAATTCACAATAATCAGTGCTGTCCATTAGTAAATTTGACTTTGGTGTGCTAGGATACTGGAATGACATAGTTTTACAGTCTTTAGATTCTGGCCTTGAATTCCTAAGGACTAACTATGTACTGTCTTGTAGCACGCCCACCTCCACTAGATCTGAGAAACCTCTCCACCATTCGGGAACACACATCATTATCAAGGACCCACACTGTGCCTTGGTAAGTCTCTGCCCAAAGACCCAGCACAAATACCTGGGTCTTAATTAGACCTCTTTGCTTAAATATAATTGAAGCCTACTTGATCTAGCTTAAGCCAAAGGAGGCACAGGCTTTATGATCAAGGGCCGGGAGTATTTGATCAATTACAATGGGAGGAATATGAATGGGTCTTCCAGGATACTGGAACCAGTAACTACACTACTGCTGGTAACCCTACTCTTTCTTCATGTCTTACATCTGCTTCTCTCTTTGTATCTGCTCATCCCTCTGTCTTTGCAGAATTCTTTTCTCTGTTTCACGGTCCTCATGGTTGAAGATAGCATTACCATTGCTCTTGAACTTGTTTACATGATACAATTCCAATATCAACAGAGATGGGTCATTTTTCAATCCCAGTTCAGATTTCCTGGGATCTCCTCATTTAGACAGTATTTGAGAATTGTGCTGCCCCACACAGAAATGGTTTATTATCTGTTGATGATGACATGTATAGTATTCTCGACTGGACTGGTCTGAGAAGTATTTCATGTTGGGTAACGTCTTTTCATAAGCAAAATAATAAATAGTGATTGAATTTTAAAAATAATTGGAATAATAATAATAATCTGGAAAAAATAATGAAAAGATATTTGATGATGATGATGGGGATTTTAATATCTTTCTATTGACTGATATGTATGGTATTCCTTTTGGAAAAAGAAATGTAGGGGGGACCAGCAGTTAGCATAATGGCTGTCGCTGGACTCCCATGTAGTCGACCACAGTTCGAGTCCTTGGACCCGGTGGCTTAAACTCACGCTGGGCGCGTGTGAGTGTGTGCCCGAGATCCCAAGAGGAGAAGGGATTGTGGTGTGGCCATCGCCACTTGGAGGTGATTTCTCACTTTCTTTCTCTCTGTCTCTCTCTGTCTTTCTGGCGAGCACACACGCCCTATAGCAAAAACCTCTCAAAAAAGAGAAATATAATACACTGTAAAGTTATATGTGATTCAATGTAATACAAACAAGATTATGATAATAATAAATAAAATAAAATTTAAAAAAGAGGAAATCTTTGGCTTAAAAAAAAAGAATTGTGCTGCCCCAGACTGTATAGAATCGGCTGTGGTCCAGGGAGCAGATCCAGTACTATCTGTATGGCTTCCAGAAGCCTGACTTTGTGAACAGGGTAGGAGAGTTCTGAGAAGGAGGATGGCTCATGATCTGAAAACCCTTAAAATATTAGTACATCTGCACCCTCTCATCTCAAATTTTAGAAGCTGCATTTTCAGAGTCCTGAGCCTGGCCCAGGAGTTTCTTAGTTCACAGGATACAATCATTTTGAAAGCAAAATTCTACAGTGACCTGTATTTCCAACCAATTTTGCTTTGAGAGACTCAGCCTCTGCTTTTCTTTGGAGTAGAATGGAAATCAATTCATAACCTCATTTTTTTCTTGCTAGAGGAATGGCTATAGTTCCTTACTTTCCTGGTTACTTTGAATGGAGCAAAGAATGCCAAAGGGGCATCTCTTCTCTTCTCTTTTCTTTTCTTTTTTCTTTTTTTTTCTTTTCTTCTTTCTTTTCTTTCTTTTCTATTCTCTCTTCTTTTCTCTTTTCTTTTCTTTTTTCTTTTTTTTTCTTTTCTTCTTTCTTTTCTTTCTTTTCTATTCTCTCTTCTTTTCTCTTTTCTTTTCTTTCTTTTCTTTCTTTTCTATTCTCTCTTCTTTTCTCTTTTCTTTTCCTTTGTTTTCATTATTTTTCTTTTCTTCTAGCTAATGACATGATGCCCTGGTCTGTTTCTAAAATGACTTCAGAGCCATTCACTCCATTTGCTGCTGAGCAGCCTCTGCTTCTTCAGGGATTGCTTTGGCCGGAAGGAAATTGGGTCTGGAGGAGGAGGGCTGAAACCTCATGGGGACCATATCAGTTCCTGGATGACTTTCAGAATAGCTGTAAGACATTGCTTTGACCTCATCTGTATTTTTGTTCTTAGCAGTCGAACCAGCTTTTTCTCTCCAGAAAGAAATGGTATTAATTCTGTGAGGTTTTTTGCCAGTCCTGTTTCCAGGGAAGAGGAAGAAAGCTACATCCAAATGGTAATCCTATATATTTTACACTCTCCTTATTCTTCACCCTAATCTATATTCTTGTGAGTTCATTATGAAGAAAACATTATCCTTCAGAAAGCCCCATGCAGTATTAAAATGATCACTTGATTGTAAAACCAGGTCAGAGGCTTCCCTAGAACAGGAATAAATTGATCAGGAACTGATTTTCTTTCCTGTAATAATCAACTTCTCACACTATATTGAGGCTACAGTATTTCAAGAGAACCCAGCAATTCTTTTCACCAAGACCATGGTGTCCTGCTTGACCTCAATTGATTTGTAGTTCCTTGGATGCCCAGAGCCTTAGCTGTGAAAACTCACATATTAAATGCTCCCTTCCACCAGACACCTGGTGGCTCACCTCTGACTTCCTCTGAACTTTTCTGCAAGCTGAATCACTTAGATTTCCATTGAGCAGGGTACCCCTGGGCTGTGGGTGGTTGTGGGGTGTCTTGGCCTCTGGAGACCTGGGTGGAAAGAGGCCTGACATCTCTGCCCTTTGATTAGCCATTCACAGTTCGAGACCTCTGTCTCCCTCTTGCCCTGTTGTCCCTTCTATTATCTTCATCTGGGATACTGGGGTTTTAGAACATGGGGTTTTAGCACCTCTGGCAATTATCAGGCACTTTAGCCAGAACCGTGCCCACTCTGCAACTTAGAAATGGAGGGAACTCTAGAAATCTTCTGTTTGAACTCTATGGCAGAAAACAAAAGATTGGAAGGTATAAAGGAATGGAGAGCAACTGTGGATACTAGAGACAATGCGGGAGGAGGGTAGAAAATGGAGGAGGAGAGAGGGAGGGAATCAAGGGGAAAAAGAAAGAAGCAAGACATTTAAGAGACACAGAAATGGAAAATTACCTGTTAATAATGATATGTATGGTTATATCTTTCATTGAACCAATATAAAGTGTATTCATGATGGGAAAATTCATTTGATATGGTGTAGTGATTGAGTATTTAAAAAGAATTATCTGTGAAATTTTGACAAGAGATCTTAGCTAGAGAATGTTCAGGACACTGCGACTATATACTCTCAAGAAGCCAATTCTGTCCTCATAGACAGCAGGAAAATAGACAATTGAACATCTTTATTGAACATCTAAAAAAGAGTCATCTCCATTAAATCAATCTTTAAATGTATCATTTTGCCTTTTTTATTTCATAAAAACTGTTGTAAATGCACTTAATCATATGCAGAGGAAAAGTGAGTGATTTGCAAATCTTTGGTCTTCCCAATATTTCTCACACCCATTAATGGCCCTTGGGAAACTTCTAGAAGAAATTATTCTTATAAATGAAACAGGGGGAAAATAACACATTTAATTGATGCAAAAGTGAGAAGTTATTTGCTGATGATAATGTCTTGACTGATATGCACCATATTAGTGCTGGGTAAAGCAATGTACACTGTAAAGATATATAGTAATTAAGTTAAAAATAAAATAAATACAAAATACATATAAAAAAAATGATACTGAGAAACTGCACTCTGTCTCCAGAGAACAGAAAAGGAAGGTAAATCTTAAACCTAATGGAATCAAGTACAGAGTCATTCTGGATAACAGCAGTTCATTTCTGATCTCTGAGGTTGTGAGAAACACCAGTGTTTCATTCACAACACTGTTAAGGACTGATTACTAGGCAGTACAAAACAGTAGATTTAGAACCCAGAATACTGGCTGATGGTAGCTGTAAGCTGTGTTTGAAGACTATCCCTTCTCATTCAATGTGTGTGTGTCTTAACTTCGGGAATGAGATCATTTCATGATTTACGTTATTTCACTTATACTACACAATAGCCCTATATAGTAGTCAGAACTAATGTGATTTGATTTTAATTTTGCACAATCATATGAGTTTTATTTTGTTTCTTTGGGGACAATTTGCATGTGAATGTAAAAATGAAGGCCAGGGGCTAAAATACAACTTTCGTTTTATTTTAGGTTATTCTTAGAAGTTGTTTATTTCCATGAGCAAGAGAGACAGAGAGAAGAGAAAGCAGCCCAACAGAGTCTTTTATTAAAATTTTTATTAATTAATTTATTTTACATATTTTCATTGATCACCACCACAGCATACAAAATACGATTTTCCAGCCAGAATACACTGTAAAGTGGCTAAGTTGACTTTAGGCATGAAACTCTGTGGGTAGAATGAATATACTATAAAATAACACATAGCTGAGGCTATATAGCTTACTGTAATCACTAATAGGTATTTTTAAAATACATTTTTAATTTAAAGAAACGCAGTTTTAGCTTTAATAAATCAAAATAAAAAATGTTAAGAGAACTTTGCTTAATTCATGAAGCCAGGAAACAGGTTAAGACTCTGTACAAATAGTAGGTACATGGACCTGTCACTTGAGAGAAGACAAAACTCCTTAACACTGGAAAACAAAGCACAGAAGGTCACTAATGTTTTAGTGAAAATTCATAAAATTCTATTTCACTGATTCAAACTCATATACTTTATCTTCTGTTGTGGTCTGATCTTTCCGTTTAAATTCTGGAAGATAATGTTCATCTGGACTTGTCCCTACCAGAAAGCTTGCCATTTTCTTAGTTGTTTTAGAATTCTTATTTCTGTGTGTCTGACTTCAGTTTTCTTGGAATAGCACTTCCTTCAGAACTTCTTGGAGAGCTGGTCTGGTGTCAGTAAATTCTTTCAGCTTTTGTTTATCTGAGAATGTTCTTGTCTTCTCTTCCCATATGAAAGGTAATCTTGCTTGGTATAATATTCTTGGTTGAAATGGTTTTTTCATTCAAAACTTTGAGTATATTTTCCCATTCTTTCCTTGCTTATATTGTTTCTGATGAGAGGTCTGCTGTTAGCCTGATGGGATACCCTTTGTAGGTAACTTGCCGTTTTTCTCTTGCCAATCTTAGTATCTTGTCTTTGTCTGTGGTTTTGGTCAACCTGGCTATAATGTGTCTTGGAGAAGATCTTGGGTTGATGCTATTTGGGGCCCTTTGTTTGTATTTCTTGGGACTGAATCTTTGAGTGCCTCTCTAGGTTTGGAAAGTTTTCTTGCAGGATTTCATGGAATAGATAATCAATGCCCTTATTAGCCTCTTCACCTTCTGAGATACTGATTATCTGGATGTTTCTATGTTTAATAGTATCTAGTATTTCTTGTATATTATTCTAATTTGGGGGATATTTTCTCAGTGTTCATGTTGGATTTTACTAATCCAGTGATTTTATCTACTACGTCTGAGATTTGATTTTCTGTATGATCTAGTCTGCTTTTAACACTTTCAAAGGAGATTTTGACTTCCTGTATTATAGCCTTTATCTCCAACAGTTCTATTTGATTCTTTTTTTATGGCATGTATTTCCTCTTTCAGCTCTCTCAAGAACTTCCTCACCTCCTGGAACTATTTTCTTGGTTTCTTATGTTTCTTGTGCCTCTGCAGTGATTTCTAGTCATCTGATGGGTTATTAGTTTTTTCCTAATTTCTAGAAGTTCAATCTGAGTCATCAGAGGTACACAGGAGGAGGTGGTCTGCAAAATCTTTCGAGTTCCATTTTTCTCCCTTTTTGTTGCAGATTCAGTTGGAATTGAGGAATATGCGGACCCTAATAGTATTCAGATGCTTGGCTACTTTTCACTTAGACCTGTCTAGACACTCACTGCTTTTCTTTTTGTGGATAAACTGCTTGAGTTGCCTAATATATTTTGGTTATCAGTCTGTTATTTGAGGGCGAGTTTGCAAAAAAAGAAAACAAAAGACCAATATCTCTGATGAATATAGATACAAAAATTCTCAACAAGATACTAGTATCCAAGAGGAGCTCTTATATACTCCTGGTACTCATGTAGGTTGGTAAACCCATAACCACTCTATAAAAATTGTTTGGCAATGTATAGTGAGGCTCAAGATGCTCACATCCTATAGCCCAGACAATTCTATCCAGTTAAATGCCCTAGAAATTACCCCACAAGTGCATAAATGCTCATGGCAAAATTGCTTGTCATATCTCCTAAACTAGGAGCAACTCAAATGTTCTTCGATGACAGAATGGTTAAATAAGTCATTCAATGGAGTAATCTGACTTAGAGAAAATGTGTTAAATAGGGCTAATGTATCAACATGATTTGAATACAATGCATATCATTTTAAGCTAAAATTGAAGTCACTGAAAATACATACAATGTGAGTCTGTTGATATGATGTTCAAAAAAAGGCAAAATTAAATGGTGTGTTATTCTAAGATATTTACTCATGAAACTTATGTTTAAAAAGGAAGTGAATGGTAAATGCAAAATTCAAGATAGTGCTTCACCTATTGTGGAGAGAAAAAAAGATGATAGAGGGAAGACAGTTGCCTCAGAGGTACTGGTAGCATTCTACTTCTGAAGCTGGCTCAGTTTCACTATTTTATAGCTGTTTAAATTATGCAAAATATTATTAAATATATTTGTGATGCCTTTTTTTTTAAAAAAAGTTTATTCATTTCTTTCTCCCATGAGAAAGTGAAAGTGAGCAATAAAGAGAGGCACTGCAACAGGTCTTCACACCTCAATCCATCCCCAGTCTTAGCCAGACTGAATCACAAGCATGCATGCCCAGTGTGCTCAGGGAGGTCCCAGGACATGAACCCAGGATCTTTCCCATGTGGGTTCTGTTGCATTACTCTTGCACTATCCATCACCTGGCACTCAATATTTGGGATGCCGTTGATAGAACTTTAAGAAGTCTAATTGATCTTCTCAAGATTTAATCTCTCAAATATTATGGGCCTGTTATATCCATAAACAGAATTTTTTTTTCAGAAAATTTTGGCAGTTTCTGTGGTGAGTAATGATATGGTTCCACAGTGAAGGCTGAACTGGTTATATTATGTTTGAAATGCAAGCTGTCACTCAGACATGCAGGTTGATCTGCTCATGTGTCATTGGACCACTCTGTTACAAGCTGACAGCAACTGCTTGGATGGAGCCACACTTGCCTGCCTTCCTATGGGCAGCCTGGCTGGACATCATTACCTGAGTCCTGTGATATTGCTTCTTAGGAGGAACATCGAACAGCCAACTCCATAAGTAGTGGTGCTTTTACGTGGACCAAGAAATTCAGCCTGGATTATCTGGCCCTAGACTTCAATTCGCCATCACCAGTCCCTGTGCAGCAGGTAGGAAGGACTTTGTGTCTGAGACTCCGGGGTATTGTATTTCTCCTTAAACTCTCCTGATTATCAAACCATGCATGTTCTTTTTAGAAAATACTAAAAATACAAACATGTATAATGAAAAATATTAAAAACAGCCCTAATCCTGCCTCCCAGAATGAATGAAATCTTGGTACATGTCTTTCTAGCATATGTTCTTTGTGAGTATATGTATAAACATGTATATGTATAAATATTCCATTCACAATATTAAAAATTTGGACTATAAAATTTATAGAAAAACTTCTCAGATATAAGGCTCTACAGGTATAGGAAAGAACTGTTTGGGGAACAAATAACAGCCTAGTTTGACTAGATTTTAGGGAGTGGCAGTTTTGACTCCTTTGGGCAATACTCTTATTGTTAAAATGGAGTTTAGAAATATAACACCTCTGTCAAAGGTTGTTTTGAGAATTGAGTTACTTTTTTATTTATATATTTTTATTATTATTCATACATTAAATCAAGTAGTGGTGCTTTTACGTGGACCAAGAAATTCAGCCTGGATTATCTGGCCCTAGACTTCAATTCGCCATCACCAGTCCCTGTGCAGCAGGTAGGAAGGACTTTGTGTCTGAGACTCCGGGGTATTGTATTTCTCCTTAAACTCTCCTGATTATCAAACCATGCATGTTCTTTTTAGAAAATACTAAAAATACAAACATGTATAATGAAAAATATTAAAAACAGCCCTAATCCTGCCTCCCAGAAGGAATGAAATCTTGGTACATGTCTTTCTAGCATATGTTCTTTGTGAGTATATGTATAAACATGTATATGTATAAATATTCCATTCACAATATTCAAAATTTGGACTATAAAATTTATAGAAAAACTTCTCAGATATAAGGCTCTACAGGTATAGGAAAGAACTGTTTGGGGAACAAATAACAGCCTAGTTTGACTAGATTTTAGGGAGTGGCAGTTTTGACTCCTTTGGGCAATACTCTTATTGTTAAAATGGAGTTTAGAAATATAACACCTCTGTCAAAGGTTGTTTTGAGAATTGAGTTACTTTTTTATTTATATATTTTTATTATTATTCATACATTAAATCTCTATACATCATTTAGATTGTGAAAAGACTTGAGTTAATACTTGTAAGCAATTATAGCCATTAACTGGTGTCACCCACTGCACAATGTAAGGCATGGAATGAATGGTAAGCAGTGAACAACTCAATATTTTTGAGCAAGGGATGGTCATAATCCAAACTGTGCTTAACAATGTATTGTTTGGTGAAAAGAAGCAGCTCACTGCACGGAATGTACTGAATCCGTGTGTATATGCAGGGGTGTATGTGCATGCGTGTGTGTATTATATCATTCCAAAAATTTGAACTGACATTAGAGAAAAGTAAGCCAAAGGGTGGGAATAACAAGTGCAAAAGTGCATTAGTTGGGACCAGCAAATGGCATAAGGTTAGGCTGTTGGACTCCCACATCATTGACTGTAGTTTGAATCCTACCCTGGAGGCTTAAAACTCACGTTGAGTGTGTGTGCATGCATACTCCAAATCCCAAGAGAATAGAGGAAAACGGATTGCAATATGGCCATCCACCCTGGGAGAGGGGGATGATTTCTTGCTTTTTGTCTCTCTCTCTCCAGAAAGCACACATGCCCTATAGCAAAAATCTCTTTAAAAAAAGTGCACTAGTCGGTTTTGAAAGAATTCCAGTTGTTGCAGGATAGGGACTTTGTGTGCCAGGTCATTTTAAATCCAGGGCCCAGGCAGGATGAGGAACCCCCATCTGAGGCATGCTAGTCTCTGGCACCAACAATTACAGAAGAAAAAAGAGAAATTACAGAATCTAAGGGTGCCTCTTTTTTTTTCCTTAGGATTGGCACATGTTACTTCCACTAACATTATATTGGCTTTGGAGCCAGCAGTTAGTGTAATGGCTATGTCACTGGACTCCCATGTAGTTGACCACAGTTCGAGTCCTGGACCTGGTAGCTTAAACTCACACTGGGCATGTGTGCATGCGTGCCCAAGATCCTGAGAGGAGAATGGAGGAGAAGGGATTATGGCATGGCCATCCCCCCGGGAGGTGATTTCTCGCTTTCTATCTCTGTCTCTCTCTGTCTTTCTGGTGAGCACATGTGCCCTATAGCAAAAACCTCTCAAAAAAAAAAAACCCAAAAAACAAAACATCGTATTGGCCAAAGTAAGTCCAGTGGATAAAGCAAAGTTGAGGGGGGCAGAGATTAAGATATGTTTAAATACACACACACACATATACACACATGAATAATGCTTCTACAGGGAGGAAGGTGTGGGAAATATTTAACAGCAATGTAATCTACCATAGAAGGGTGGACATTTTCTTGACTGTTTAAATTTGATTAATTAAAACCTTTCTATTCTTCCTTTAGAAACCTCTCCTTTCAGAAGAACAAAGAGTAGACTATGTCCAAGTGGATGAGCAGAAGACACAAGCTCTCCAGAATACAAAACAGGAGTGGACGGATGAGAGGCAATCCAAAGTGTGAGAGCTTGGGCTGTGTGTGAAACAGGGAAGCTGGGCACTCAGTTTCAGGTATCTTTTTGGCTGAAAACTCACCAGTGGTCAACACAGGTCAAAGCCAAGAGAGAACATGTAGTTTCCATGTCTTGGCAAGAACCTTTGAGAGAGAGAACCTAACTATCCCTTGAATGGCTAGGAAAAGGAAGCTGTTTCCTCCTGAAAGGGGAGCTGAGAAAGTCTAGACACCTGTTCTTGTAGGAGCCTGTGGCAGCAATTGCCTTCTTCAGCCACATCACCCTTTACCAGATCCTCAGGGTTGGTTGCAGTTGGCTCAACAGTCACAAGAAGTAGAGATAAAGAATTTCAGAGCCACAGACTAGTATGTAAAAAAACTCCACATATTCAGGCACAGTAGGAGCAATAAAAACAAGACTTGGGGCAGACATCTTTCTCAAGATTTCTGTTAAGAAATCTCTGAAACAGAGTAATTGGAGCCAGAATTGCTATCAACAGGATGATACCATTTGACCCCAATTACTGAATTCCTTACCTTTCTCCTGTGCTTTGATAAGAATCATAAATTATCCTTATGGCCTGCGGAGACCATCTTATTATAGCCCCCTGAAGACACAGTTGAGGAGACCAAATGAGCAACCCAATCATTTATATCCCCAAAGACAGACAATTCTGTGATGAGCATATCAGATGACACTGCTGGCTCTTAGAATGTAATGGTTAAACAGTTACCAATAGCCGAGTATTCTGTGGCTGTTGGTGTTTTCATATATATCACCTCATCTCTTCCCCTTTAGGGGGTCCTCAGAAACTAGGCATGGCAGACTCTGTTGCTCCCACTTTGAAGAAATGAAAATTGAGAACCAGAGGAAGAACTGTTTTGCCCAAGATTGCTCTCATACCCTAGACACAAAGTCAGGCTTAGATTGCCAATTGTAGATTCATTCCACTCTCTCACACTGTCTGTCTCTGAGAATTTTGGTTAAGTAGATCATCAATTGGATCAACTTGGAGACACATGGGAAACATATGCATACAAGAGATGAACCCTCGACCCCTCTCCTCTCCTGTTTATATCTTTGCTTTGATACTTGGAAGGTGTGCATGCCAACCGAGAGTTTCTTTGTACAATGTTCAGGTGGAATCCTGGCATCATCAGTGGTTATAGTTACCAATACCTCCTGATGATCAGTCTGAAATTCACTCTTGAATCACATGGCCTTCTATGCAGTGTGTTTCCCTGTGTGCTGGCTAATGCTAGCAAAGAAATTTTTACTGTCTTTGGGAAGGCAGAAGTCATCCCTGGCTATGCTATAATGGACCCAGATTTAAAGTCATAGAGAGAAATGACCAGAAAAAAAAAGTTCCATCCTCAAGTCTCCTTGTTATTTTTTTCCTTTTTGCTTGAGAAATGATTAGGTACTAAGACTGCAAGCCCTTCTAATTAGTAATGAGGGCATTATGTCATATCTTCCTCTATAGGTCCTCCCAGAATGAAGGTCTCAGTTTGGCACAGAGTTCTATTTAGTGTCCCTTCTTAATCCATCTGAGCACCCACAATCAGAAGATATATCTGTACAACCTGAAACTAAGCAGATACTGGCCCACCTTTCCAGCTGGCACTATTGTCTTACAGATGAAGATGAATCAAATAAGCAGGCAGGTCTATGATAGTCACTGTAGTCAAGGTGGTTATAGGTTTTGCTACAGGATTTCAGGATTTCAAACCACCCAATGATACAAAATGCCAAAGTCTTAAGTTTTTCAGACAATACAAGAAGTAATTTTAATTTTCAAAGCAGCAGGCTCTGGTGACACCATTTCCTTCCTGGGAGAAAATTGACAAGCACCTTTACTGAGTTCAGAATTCTTAGTGAACCTGGACAGAGCAAGGAGAGGGCTCCTGTCTCCTGGTAATCCATGGCCAGCTCCATGTTAACAATACCCAGCTCAGAACCTGTGATGAGCTGCCTTCTTCCCCACTTCTCCATGTGACTTCCAAAGAGTCATGAAGTGTCAGGCAGACCAAGGATGCAGACTACCAGTTCCCATAGACAATATCTTCCCTATGTATGAGGCACTTGTATTTGGATCGCTTATTATCTGATAAAGGCTGGTGCATAAAAATTGTAGCCCCAAATATTGAGAACCACGTTGGATTGAAGACATAAGAAGAAGTAAAGCTGAAATGATGTCAGTAGTGAAGTATCATTCAATTAGGCAGAAAAAGAAATGTTTCTACAGAACTTTCCAGTAATGTCTTTACATCATGAAGCCATGAATATGACAAGTCTGACCTATTTGGAAGTGATTAAATTCTTTCTGTGTTAAAGATATGGAAGATAATAAGAGTTAGAATTTTAATTTTTTTTCAATATTTGAAAATATGACTTTACCTCTTCACTTCCAGGGTTTATGTGATTGTGTCCTGCTTTGATAAAACTACTAAAGGATGGCTATGTAACAGCATAATGATCTAAAGAGACAAAGTACAGGTGGTTTTTGAGCTGACAGTAACATATGCCCATGAGAAAGTCACAAGTCAAGACGATGCCAGCCAAATCTCATTTTCTGGCAGAGACAATCAATGTGTATGTAAGAGAGGGCTATGTTTCTAGCCAATGGCCTGACGTTTGTTACCCCAGAGACCATTCTGAGCCAAACATACATGGCATGTCTGTACACTGTGGACACCTTCTTAAAAGATTTGTAAACCGATGTAACAGGTTGATTCAGAAATTAACTCCACATTATTTTTCTGTAGTTCTGTTTTTATGTTTTGTTAGGAAATTTCTCCAGATCAGAACTGGGGGCGGGGGGTGACTGAAGGGTTTCAGGCCTGCAAATCTAGAAGGCCATAAACTTAGGAATGCTGAGACTTAAGCTTTCCTTGGAGAGAAAGGTGTCCTGAGGTCCAGCACACAGCCTGGATGTAAAGTCATGAAGTGGTCCAGTGGGGGTTGCTGTATAGGCTACTTCACTGTAGAACAAGAAGCAGCTGAATAATGACTTTTAGGTCCTATCAAGACTGAAGGCTCCTCTCAGGCCTACCTTTTTCCTCTATGATCTTCTTAGTCCCTATTCATATTGTATATATATCCACAATCACACTGATATTTCAAATTTTTTATTTTTACTGTTTCATTTTTTGGAATTAATAAAAGTCTTATAAGAAGGAATTATGACTTAAGTTCTCTCTTAGTTCTTTTAAGTTGTTTGTGCCAATATAAATAAGGAATTGTTCTGGGGGAGCCCCAAATCCAAGAAGGCTTTCCTATAATGTTCAATGATTTCAGTGAACATGACCAGAGGTCCAGCAGTGAAAACATGAGTTTACTTACATAATACAGGGTGCTCTGCTGATGGACAGTCAAAAAATGGTCTGTGCTGTCATTGAGCACACCCTCAGGTTATATACGGTAAGGACAAAACATTCATAAATCAATTAAGGATCAGTGAAGACTTCCTGTCACCCAGACAGATATCTGGTTTGTATATACATTGCTTGAAGGTTACAATAAAAGGTTAGCTTTTCAATGAGCAGAATCAGCAGAGCATGTTTAGGGTTTAGTCCCCTTTGTCTAGTGATGTTAATGTGGGAGGGGAGTATCTATCTCTGGCATGGCCCCAGCCATAGGCCAATTCTATGAGGTGAAGGTCATGGTTACAAGATGTTCATGAGGCCTAGCCAGACCAGCAGCTAGGTCTCAGGGAGACAGGGCAAAGAGGGAGGGCGAGGAGAGCTCAGTGTATAGAGCCTACATTTGTTCTACCCCCAACATTGACTCTCATACCACCCTCACAATCTTTACAATTATCATCATTAATCTTCCACCAGTTTTCTGGAGTGGATGTGTGAGTCAAATATAGCATCCATATCCCACAATTACAGTAGAGGGCACAATTCCAAATAACATTTTAAAAATTACAATACCAGTGAAGAGTTTTTTCTAGAAGGATCTAAGGAAACCAAACCAAACAGAAAAAGAGTCCTAGTGATTTGCCAGATATACTTTCCATGGCATCTCAGATGTAGCCAATAGCATGAACTTAGAGTATACCCAGTAGGCAGACTTGTGTGCTCAAGTAAGAATGCCAGCTCACTACAGGTTCCCTGTACCTACTACAGGCTGAGTCTTATTGACCTGTTCCCAAACTAGTTGAAAGACATGTTTTTGGGGCTCATCCAGACTCATTAGTTCACAACAAGTATCCCCAGTAGCCTTCCAGTTATGCAGGAAGGTCCGTTCAGAGTGGTTAACAAGGTGCATTCTCCAGGGCATTCCACAGGTTGCTGATACCTGGAACTCAGAGCACACCCAGTAGGCAGACTTGTATGCTCTAGCGAAGGTGCCGGCCCATTGCACAAATGTGATTCTCTCCCCTGGGCTTAAGAATAAGACAAATATTTTAGTGGTACAGGCAGAGATAAATCTTTATTATCAGTGATATGCAAGCAACATTCCTATCCTCATGCAATGAAGTAACACTCTGGGGAGATCTCCTCAGTTTAGTATACCATGCCCGATCAAGCCCAGGGGCACTTCGATCCATGACATAGGAAACAAAAGGAGTCCTCAATTGCCAAATGGTAATTATTAATGTGCCCTTAGTAATAGTATCTGGGCCATGGTTGTGGCATTTTATAATATTTGTCCACTTGCCCATAATTTGAGGGCAAATGTCAAGGTTGTGAGTGAGTTCTTCCCCAACAGGGCTAAGAGGGAGCACCAACAGGGTTCAGACTGAATGTCCCAGGGCCAGTGGAGGATATTATGCCTTGATTATATGTCCTGAGATGCTGGAAAAAGCAAGTTATTCTCCCCCCACTCCACCCAGCTAGGTCATGGTGGCTTTCTGGGTATAAATCTGCAGCCATATGGGAGAGGCCCAAGGCTGGGAAAGCATATCCAGTGGTGTGGGGCAGCCAGCTTGTGGCTTCTCATTCAAGACACATAAGGCCTCATACAAGTATATGGTCCGCCCCTGGAGAGAGTGTTGATCTGTCTTTAGAGCTTCCTTCAGCATTCCATTGTAGTGCTCTGGGAGGCCAGCTCCTGTGGCATTATAAGGGAGGCAAAAGGGGGCCAGTTTATATGCATTTGTTCAGCCCACTATTGTACCTGATGTCAGGTGAAATGTGTTCCTTGATCACTTTCCATGACTTCAGGTATCCCATAAGGCTGTAAATAGCTGCAGCAGCCCCCCCCCCCCCCATATGGTAGAGCACTGAGTAGCCCATAGACTTGGGAATGCTTGTAAGATGCCTGTGGTGGTGTCACATAAGTCAAAGTGAAATGGGCCCCTTCTGAACAGGGGAGGGGTCCTATATAGTCCATCTGCCATTTGGGTCAGGGGTTCCCTGCCCCTTCTGATATGTCTGTTCTGTTGATAACTGGTGGGGCTGGCCTTCTGAACATATCGGACATTCATTGCAAGCTGTTACAATGTCTGACTATTTTGAAAGTTTTTTTTTTTTTCTTTTTCTTTTTCTTTTTTTTTATTTTTGAGATTTTTTCTATATAGGGCATGTGTGGGAGTGTGAGCTGGAGAGACAAAGACAGACAGAATGGAAAAATCACCCTCTGGGGGAATGACCATGCTGCAATCTCTTCTCCTCCATTCTCCTTTAGGGATCTTGGGCATGCATGCACACACACCTAGCGTGAATTTTAAGCTGTCAGATCCAGGACTTGAACTGAAGCTGACTACGTGGGAGTCCAGTGATATAACCATCACACAATCTGCTGGTCCCATGTCTATTTCAAGAGACTACTCCAGGCTTTTGTCACTTCTCATATACTCTTTTGCCCAGCATGTTTCATTTTCCAATGAAGGCACCATGTTACATCTTCAGCAGGGGCTTCTTCCAGCCATTGAATGCACACTAACTCATCAGTCTCATCATTGCCAGGACTTTGAAGAGGGGGAGTGACCAAACATACAGAGATAATCTTAGTCTTGGTAATATTATAAGTGTCTTACCAAATGTTTTGTCCCCACAAGTTTTGTATAATGGCCCATCACTGTTGGTGTCATTGTGGCAGCCACAGTGTAAGTCCTGGCCCAGCTATCTGGCCCTTTTTCCTTACCAATCACTAGTTCCACCCATTGGCTACTCTGCCACCTGCCATCCTCCATCCAAACAGTGTCCATGGAGGGCTGGTATGCCACAGCTCTCCACCAGGTGCTGTCTGGCCCCCAGAGTCATCTATGTACCAAGCATCATCTGGCACTGGAGGCATTCTCTCCTTGATGAGGAAAGGAGTGAGAGCAGGATCCTCTGGTAAAGGAATCAGTGTTCATAAATGTCACAGGTCACAAAAGTTTTTGTAGCTTGTATTTGTTTTAAAGGTCTGGTAAATAAGTAACTGTGTTGTTGTAGGTTTGCCTACAACTTGGTGAGGGTCATTGGGCAGCAAAGCTCTTCATTTATGGGACAGGTCATGTATTCATTCCACGATGCAGAGGACTATCTGTACTGTGATCAATGCTTGTCCCATTATCAAAGGTTTGGTAAACAGCATTTACCTGTTGTTCAGTAGAACTATATCTGGCCTCTACTCCCTTCCAAGTTTGTGACCAGAACCCAATGGGAAGTTGAGATAGTCACTGCCACTGCCAGAGCTCCCAGGCATACCCTTCCTGGGTCACATTAGCATCTAATTCACCGG